GTAAAGTCCTCTGATATTACTACTGTTATGATTTAGGGCTATACAAAAATACATTGAAAGGAATAGAACTGTGACCTGACAAAAGACCCCACAGACATGACCAGCAAATAATTGAATCTCTGAGAATCCCATCTCAAACCCAGGTGTATAGATCAGATTCATTCATTTATTTGCCATTTGCAGTAAAACCACATTGGAAAAACTTTGCAAGACTACCCCAGTGTATAGCGACTACATATACAGTATGTGTCTCTGTATAAAAGGAGTATACAGCATTATTATTTCACAGAACAGATTAACTGTTTCTTTGCTGTGGAGGCTTAGAAGTCCAAGTGAGCTCCAAATAGAAATACAGAATTCCATCGCTGTATATCTTTGCACACATAACAGAACAACTGAGGTGCAGCACCAGTGAGAGAAATGCATTATTCCTCAAAAAGGTGTGGATTTGCATTTGAAAGTTAAGCTCAAAGAAGCAAAGATAAATGAGTTGTATACTGCTGCTAGATGAGATGAAGACGCCAAACAATCTGCAAATAATTAAACATCTCACTGAAGCGCTTATTTGTATTTGTTTTTTCGGCCGCCCCGTTGTGCGAAAGTTGTTTAGTGCTTATGGCAATGATTAGCATTAAGAGCTGCACTTCAAGGCCTTTTCGATGACAATAGCCATACATAATACATCAAGTGTTCAGAGGAGAGGGGAAAAAAACAAAACAAAAACAAGCTATTGCCCTTGATTTGTTTATTCGAATAATGCTATTGAATACTTCTATTTTAATTTTTTTTCCCTCACCATGATAAGAATTGAAATTATGGTTAATTTTTCCTCTCACATTCATGCTATGCAAACGTTAGCTCACCGGCAAACTGGAAAAGATTATTGTGAAAAAGTTGTCAGTAAGATTGTCAGTAATTTTAGAAAGTGAAAGTGCCATTCTCCTCTTCCTGCTCTGGGGAGAGGTTATGTGATCGGTGCTGAGAACACGACGCAGCCACTGTGCTGTGTGCAGAATGTTGACTGTTCTGTGCAGCTTCTGTCTCGTTATTAACACGCATGGGCCTTTCTGTCTGGAGTTTGCATGTTTCTCCCTGTGTCTGGGTGGGTTTCTCCTACCCACCAAAACATGCACACATCGGCAAAATCCTCCAGCTCCTGAGTAGTCTGGTGTCTGAAAAAGAAGAAGAAGGTCCTTTATACTGTACGTCCCACAATGGGGAAATTTCCGTTTGATGCATACACACATACACATCAAGACAATCCAGCGAACATCATATCCGCGCTCCTTATAGGCAAAGTGGGTTAAGTGTCTTGCCTAAGGACACAACGACAGCAGACATCAGTGGGAGTCAGTGGAGAAGGTCTCGTGGTGGGCTCAAACCCATGACCTTCGGGCTCAAAGGCCAATGCTCTACCTACTGAGCCACTGTCTCACCTTTTCGACCTTTTTTTACCTTCATTTTTACCTTCTTTTCTTTACTTATTCGTATAAATGTGGTTTTAATTAATGTTTTTGTGTAGATGCCAACGCTCTCTTTTAAACTGCAAAAAGAATCTACCCATGGGTACATAAAGTCATCTTGAACCTTGAATCTTTCACCATGGTCCGATAGAGATAGATACATGTAGATGGATAGAATATATAATTCATAATATACGGCTAAACATTACGAATAATGTTAATAAATTGCACATATTTAACTCAGAAAGATCTGTCATATAGTCTTACGGTCAAAGGAACAAATGTTCTCTTTATTATTGATTGGAAGATCCAAGTTTCCAAGACCGTATGAAAGTAACAAGCACACAAAAAAATGGCTGACGAGAGCACACCCTCTTTTAAAAAGTAAGAATGAAATATCTTTTTTATCTTTTTTGATTATCTGATCCGTACAAGAAAATATTTTAAGTTCATTTGTATAGCGCAATTCATGTTCAAAACAACTTAAAGTTCTGAACAAAACAAGATAGAAACAGTCACACAAGGAATATAAAATGTAATAAACACAATAAATATAGAACTTAAAAATTGAAAAGGTTAGCATTGGATTGGGTCATGAAAAACAAGTGTAGGTGGTCCCCGGGCGCAGCGCTGTAGAGACCACCGCTCCCGACAGACGCCCTGCTGACATTGAAGGAAGGTTCAAATGCAGAGGATGGATTTCACTATGGGGACAATATTATAATGCCTTATGAGTGTATTGCATATAAATTGTATAATATCGTAGGGTCTATGCTCAGCGTTAGCGCCGATAGATACTTCAGACAGACGTAGAACTGAAGGGCACTGCTGCAGGAATGGGCTGCTCTTCACTGTGAACGGGGGTAAATATTTAGTGCATTATAAAGGCAGAGGCACAAACGACAAGCCGTAAGTCAGAATGGTGGTCATGGAGAAGTGGTGTTTCTAGGAAGACAACACTGCAAGGACAAAATAGAATGTAGGCCACACAATAAAACAAACAAACGATATTGTCCTAGCACTATTATTGTTCCAGTCTGTAGTGTAACCGGCGTATTTAATCATGCAAGTTTTATGATAGAATAACGCTGATCCCAATGTAATTCTTGTTGGGATACTTACTTTTAAGGTAAGGTAAAATAATTTTTATCACACAGTTTAAACAAAAGACAAGTGCTTTTCCAAACAGGAAAAGAAACCAATACTAAATGAGTAACCTTTACATCTTTGATGTCATTTTAACTGGTCCTTTTTTTAAAGAAACTAGTTAAAACATTCAAAAGAGAGCAGAGAGAAAAATATGTATGTAAAGAATATCAGACATGTCTAGTATAGTCATATTCCGGGGATTATTTTATCTTCCGGGCGACAGTAGCTCAGTTGGTAGAGCATTGGCCTTTGAGCCAGAGGGTCGTGGGTTCGAGCCCCACTCTCACCATTGACTCCCACTGTCTGCTGTCGTTGTGTCCTTGGCAAGACACTTAACCTCTGGGAACACCTGATGCCACAGTGGGGCACAGTGCCTAGAATGAGTCTGGTGTGTGTGTGTGAATGGTTGGTGGTGGTCGGAGGGGCCGATGGCACACGCTTCTGTCAGTGTGCCCCAGGGCAGCTGTGGCTACAGTAGTAGTTTATCACCACTGTGTTTGGAGTGAAAGAATAATGACATGTAAAGCGTCTTTGAGTGTCCAAAAAAGCGCTATTTAAAACTGATATAATTATAGCAAAGACTTTCCTCTCCGTAAACCTCCAAATTACCTAAATGATCACCTTGAATATTGAAAACCATTCATCTTGTATTTTGTTTTGGTATGTTTGTTTTGTATTGAACTTTCTCAGTCATTTCAATCTAAGTATCTCCATAAGTCAAAGTTGAATAATTCAGCCAAATTTGGAACATACCAACCTGTAAAACAATTGATTAATTCTGAATATGAGTGGGATGTTTCTGGTTGTTTAAAGGTCAATAAATTAGTTGCAGATTTGAATTCATGAGAGCAAAGATTAGAGTAAAAGCTTAAATCCATGTTGTTGTGTGAAATATGGCATAAACAAAAGGTCACATATAGTGCAGGCAAATAGGCTGGGGTAATTATTCAAACAAAGTAAGCTTAAAGTAAACAGGAATTTTTTGTGTGAACCCTGCAGAGGATGGGCCTATAATAGGATCCAAGCAGGAGTTAGTAACCAGGGAGAAAATGCAAGAAAACACAGTTCTGTGATGCCATACAATACCAAGTCTGTTCCAGTAATTACAGAACTGCACCCCTGACTGAAATATGACCGTTGTCTGTCAGGGAGGAGACTCACAGGGTTGGATGGATCAGGAATGTGGTCCAGACTTACACATCATTAGAGACGCAGGCAGGAGGGTGATCTGCTGATGGGAGCTGGTTTTTGTCAAACTGCTGGTACGGAAAGTCATTACTCTATCTTTGCAGTCGTCCATATTGTGTATTGATTCATCTTTGTCTAGTAGTATGGTATATATGTAAAATTCTTAATTGCAGTGAATTGATAATACAAATATTCTTGGTGGATTTTACATATACTGTACACACATTAGTAGATACTGATTGATTGCACAAAGATATAGTGACAGTCTTCTTACTGAATAGGGGCATTAAAATGAACCATGTCATCACTAGGACTGCCATGTAATTACTATAACGATATACTGTATCATTTGATAAATAAAAACACACATACAGACACTTTGAAACTCGATAAATGTGAATGTTCACGGGTGTTTGCCTTCATGGATAAGCGGCTCAGATCACCGCAGCAACAGACGGCCGCTTTGAGACGCCTGAACGGTTCTTCACACATGTAATGGTGAATTCCTCATCTCAAACATCTTATCTGATAGAATACCAATACTGTTGGGAATTCCATTACACAAAAGCCTCTATACTCATATTCTTAAAACTTTAAGCAGTTTGACAAAGACATCTCTTGCTGTTCACAAGGGAACAAGCCTCTAAACTCACCACCTACTGGTCCTGTACTTTATTTCTATGTAAAACAGTTAAATGCATGCCACTCAAATTGAGGTAACCTGTTGTGTGGTTTACTTTGCTTGCTGGTTTCAAAAAAATACTTTCAAAAGTATAAATGCACTGACAGAAGACAGGCTTGAAACACTGTAAGCATATTAAAAAGTATTACAGAGCTTTCTATGGTCACAGGAAATTGTTTATCGAATTGTAATCTAAGATGATATTTAATTGCATATAAATAAAATGTTGATATGGTGTCATGTCCTTGGATACCTTCAATAACCTCATTTGTCCACATACCATTGTACAAAAGATTGTGTGAGATTTTGTGAGTACGCAGGATTTGGAGATAAAGATCTTTTACACTGATGCAGTAAGAACAAGAGAACATTATCCAACTCAAAATACACTATGTGTTTTGTTTACTTTGATGGGCTGGCATCTCCATGGCAATGTCTTCGAGTGCACTATTAATGTGAGGAGTAAGGGGTAGTGATCATTACAATAATGATTGTTTCCCCGTGTTTTTACATGCAGGATGAGTGAGAGACACACTCCACACAGAAACAGAGGAGCAGTTCTGGTCATGGTGCTGGTGGTCTGTCTCTGGGACATGCTACTGCCAACAGAGGGCTACTCAGGTGAGTACTGTGAAGAATAAATGTTTTACTGAAAAGACTGTCATATGTATATATGAATATATTACAGTATTGGCCTTTGCAATCTTTTGAGTTGCAGCAAACACGTAGTAAAACTTTCCCATGCATTTTTTCCTTTCACACAACCTTTTATTGCTCAAACAAAATGTGTATTGTCATTTAGTTTGAGCAGCAAATTGCTCTGCTTTTATCATAGAAAAACTAGCCTTGACATAAATAGTGTTCCCTGAGAAAGTCCCTTTTATTACAGGTAAACATCATAAAAAGTTCAGAGCAATTTATGTGGCTGAGGGAACTTTATACTGACACACGTTGCATCTGCAGCATAATAATGTACACAGAGAATGCTCAGGGCTTTGGAAGAAACTGGAGGACCCTCAAAGACTCCTTATATTCAGCACACTATAGAAAGTCCATCATCAGTGCAGTTACACACATGCTTGGCTGCTTGCAAAGTGGAGGAATGACACACAGAGTATTCAGACTACAAAGGGCCAAACGTCCTCTTTTTTTGTTCGAGATTGAATGCAAATTAATGTGTCTTCAGTTTGTTGTCATTTATTCTCACTGCAGTTTTAACAAGCAGCTTTTATGATGTTTACAAAAGCACTTGCATGACAATAAACCCACTGATTAAAGTGATAGTCTGGAACTCTAAATTAATTTCAATTTTAAGAATTGTATTAAATTGACCTCCTGGCCTTAAATGTTGTTATAAAAAAAGTCATTTTATGAATTATGATATTACGGGTAAGTCCTGCATCCCTTCTCTTAGCTATGGCTCAAAAACCATGATGCCGTTCACTTTAACCAATCAAGTGATGCCACTTGATTCAATCATCGGCGCTGATGCTCGTAGCTGCGTGCATGCTCATTTGTTTGTTTTCTCGGAGCCTCCGAATCAAGCCTCCATTAGGCTCTGAAACTACATGAAAACTGAACAAAGAATTCTGAACATCTGCGCTGAGTGACCCATTTATATACTGAACCTATATCCATAATCAGATCCTCTGCAGATGTGGCCTACAGTATAATGTTCAATTAATGATAATAGCTACTTTCAGGTTTAACGCAATTGCATTTTTTGTGCATAAAAACATTATTTTTGTCATGAATAAAATAATTTCATGACAAATAATTCTAAAAACCTCCGTGCATGTGTATAAATAATGTATATGTATAATGTGTTCTCCGATTAACATTCAAATGTGTTGATTGATTGTTACGGAAACGTAGGCGTAGACCAATCAGAAAGGAAGGGGGAGGGAGCTTTGGTTGTTTTTTTCACATCATGTACCTCTTTTTTTCTGACAAACTCCAGACAATCACTTTAACTAGAAAAGTGGTTGTCTAAAAGAAACATGAATCAATTTGCTTCCACTTGACAATTGTCTGAAACTTTGTGAGTTTCTGTAAAATTTAAATGATATTTTTGGTCGTAAACATCACAAATGACATGTTGTCACTTTTGTGTGCCACTCTATAGATATAGATAATGTGTGCTTGAAAGTTTACATACCATATGTAGAATTCTGGACGGTGTGGCGTTAACTTTTAACTTAGCTGTACACACATTAATTTAAGATAAAGCCCATAGGTTGTGATAAGACAGAGGCTAAAACAGTTTCCGTTTTCAGTTTAAAAATTGTGTCTGTATAAATCATTGACTGCATCATTCACTGGTTTTGTTGTTCAGTTCGCATTAACATTCGCTTTTAACTTCTTTGTAATACATTGTTGTGCAGCGCCTTTGTGATATCAGTCAACTTTTGACAAAGGAAAGAAGGTAAAAGTAAGCATCTAACCAGTTGTTATAAATCATAACATATTTTTTGTTACACACCTAGGTTAGCTCTGTAGCAGCTCACACGGATGAGCCTGTTCAAAAGCCTACTTTCCCTCAGACTTTATTTTAGAGAGCAGTACACAGCCCAAAGCATAACGGAAACACATGCAGTATGCGGGCCCATGGCAGAAGCACTAAACCACAACACTTAAATTAGCGCTGCATAAACAACATGCAGATCACTCCTCTTGGTACTACCTGAGAACGGGAACAAGCGTCGTCAACACAGGAAGAGAGCGAGGTCATAGAACAAGGGAAAATGGAGCATCACTTTTATTGAGTGATTGATGCCACGAAAAGCGGATGAGAGAGTGGCATATACCCCACTGGGCATACAGTGCCTTGCAAAAGTATTCACCCCCCTTGGCTTTTTACCTATTTTCTTACATTACAGCCTTGAGTTCAATGTTTCTTTTTATCTGAATTGCATGTGATGGATCAGAAAACAATAGTCTAAGTTGGTGAAGTGAATTGAGAAAAATATATACATAAAACTATTTTTCAGAAATAAAAAACTGGAAATTGGCATGTGCATACAGTATGTATTCACCCCCTTTGTTATGAAGCCCATAAAAAGCTCTGGTGCAACCAATTACCTTCAGAGGTCACATAAATAGTGAAATTATGTCCACTTGTTTGCAATCTAAGTCTCACATGATCTGTCAGCACATATACACACCTTTTATGAAAGGCCTCAGAGGCTGCAACACCTAAGCAAGAAGCGCCCCTAACCAAACACTGGCATGAAGACCAAGGAACTCTCCAAACAAGCAAGGGACAGTGTTGTTGAGAAGTACAAGTCAGAGTTAGGTTATAAAAAAATATCCAAATCTTTGATGATCCCCAGGAGCACCATCAAATCTATCATAACCAAAAGGAAAGAACATGGCACAACAGCAAACCTGCCAAGAGACGGCCACCCACCAAAACTCACGGACTGGGCAAGGAGGGCATTAATCAGAGAGGCAGCACAGAGACCTAAGGTAACCCTGGAGGAGCTGCAGAGTTCCACAGCAGAGTATCTGCACATAGGACGACAATAAGCCGTACGCTCCATAGAGTTGGGCTTTATGGCAGAGTGGACAGAAGAAAGCCATTACTTTCAGCAAAAAACAAAATGGCACGTTTTGAATTTGCGAAAAGGCATGTGGTAGACTCCCAAAATGTATGGAGGAAGGTGCTCTGGCCTGATGAGACTAAAATTGAACTTTTCGGCCATCAAGGAAAACGCTATGTCTGGCAGAAACCCAACACATCACATCACCCAAAGAACACCACCCCCCACAGTGAAACATGGTGGTGGCAGCATCATGCTGTGGGGATGTTTTTCAGCAGCCGGGACTGGGAAACTGGTCAGAGTTGAGGGAAAGATGGTGCTAAATACAGGGATATTCTTGAGCAAAACCTGTACCACTCTGTGCAGGATTTGAGGCTAGGACGGAGGTTCACCTTCCAGCAGGACAATGACCCCAAACACACTGCTAAAGCTACACTTCAGCGGTTTAAGGGAAACATGTAAATGTGTTGGAATGGCCCAGTCAAAGCCCAGACCTCAATCCAATAGAAAATCTGTGGTCAGACTTAAAGATTGCTGTTCACAAGCGCAAACCATCCAACTTGAAGGAGCTGGAGCAGTTTTGCAAGGAGGAATGGGCAAACATCCCAGTGGTAAGATGTGGCAAGCTCAGAGACTTATCCAAAGCGACTTGGAGCTGTGATTGCCGCAAAAGGTGCAGCTCTACAAAGTATTGACTTTAGGGGGTGAATAGTTATGCACGTTGACCTTTTCTGTTATTTTGTCTTATTTGTTGTTTGCTTCACAATAAAAAAAGAGACAACATCTTCAAAGTTGTGGGCATGTTCTGTAAATTAAGTGATGCAAATCCTCAAACAATCCATGTTAATTCCAGGTTGTAAGGCAACAAAACACACAAAATGCCAAGGGGGGTAAATACTTTTGCAAGGAACTGTATACCCCACTATGGCATAAATGTGAAAAGATAAAGGCAAGGTCTGCCTATATATCTGAGTGGAGTTTGCATGTTCTCCCTGTGTCTGCGTAGGTTTCCTCCGGGTACTCCGGTTGTTCGGCGACCCCGCTCTCATCTCTGTGTGGAGTGAGAGGACAAGTGCCCAAAAAATAACAATTGTAAACCGCTTTGTGACTCTGGTCTGTGAAAAGCGGTATATAAATAAAGCTTACTTACTTACTTACTTACTTACTCTGGAGCCACATATGACAGCCCTGTAGTGCTGTAATTGACTATCAAAAAACAATGAGCAGAACCACATGTTTTTGTGCCTGTTTGGCCATATTTACTTATACAGTGATTTGAGTCTTTCACATCACGCTGTTACAAAAGCGTCTACACAGCAGAGTTTGACCTTCAGGTTGTTTCTGATCCCTCAGGATGCTTCACTGCTTGAGCTTACACTGTACAAAAATGAAGCATTTAACAGCAGCATTGGCCCTCCAGGAGGAATGTGTTAGTGAAGAAGGAAACTGCTGGGACCAGCTCGTTTGGGCATTAAGCTTTAAAGCCCAGGTCTTAAGAACTGGTAGGATTGTTTGTGTGAAGTCTATTTTATTCTGTTTAGTCTTTACTTGAAATAATTATGTACAATAGAATAGGATAACAATGCCATAATTTAAGAACCTTGCTTTTCATGCAGGGCTTTTCCTGGTCATAGTCCAGTCAAGACAAGATACAATACAATACAATTTATTCTTGTATAGCCCTAGGTCACAACCGAAGTCATCTCAGAGGACCTAACAAAACCATTGAAATCACCAACACAGGTCAGAGAATCAACAGTTAAAACACATGAAAAATATAAAGCACACACAGAAGAAAATTTCCATACATGTTGTAGAATGTTAAAGTGTCCTGATCATCACCAATCCTGTATCGACAAGAAAAAACTCTTAAAAAACCCAGTGGGAAAAAGTGAGAAACCTTGGGGAGAACTAGGGAAACCCACAGGGAGGAAGACCCATTTAAGAAAGGGATCCGCTCCTCCGGACAAAGATGTATTTGTAGTTTGTGATTCCCCCAGAAGAGCTAAAGGATGTCTGCATTGATGGGGAAGTATAGGGCATCTCTACTTAGACTGCTGTCTTCAGGAGCCAGCAACA